AAATAAATCACTTGCACAGATGCATGCGAAATAGAAATAATACTAATAATAATTGAGCACCAATTGGAACATTCCCTCCCCTGTATCCGACGTCCTGGCTGCATCAACAGAGCAGCGGTGACTATGTGTGCACAACGGCTCACCCCTGTGCCCAGGTGATGACGAACAAGCCAGCCCTGTCTGTACTATTTTTATCCTCGCGTACAGTGCGAGTCAGTTTCCCCGCCAGAGTATCTCTAGTGACGGTCCGGTGCACGTTGAACCCCCATAAGGCTGGCCCGCCCAACACCCGTCTATGTGCAGCAAGAGCTCAAAGGACAACACAGCAAAGGATGCGTGCTGTACTCCCATGGGTTGACATGGTGACTGTGGCCCGTGTTTCGTCCAGGGCCTTCAAGGGCACCGCCCTCGCCCAGCAGATGTGCCGTCAGGAAGCATGTCGACTCTCAAGGTAGAGCGCTCATAACTCCTAACCAGAAGAGGACTCTCAAGCCGGACTCTCTTTCTCGCGCTAAGAAGAGAGGGAGATGAGAAGATAAGGCTAGGAACAACATACCTGAAGGCTGAAGGTAGCTGCCCCCAACCACAGATTTCTCACCAATTGAGCCAGCTTGCATTGTGATGACCGGTCATAGCCTCGGTACCACACACAATGCAATGCAGTGCCACCTCAGCACAAATGCCATGTCAGCATGCCTTCATCATTCCACCTACATCTGCTGTCGCCACAGCCTTCCAGCCCACTCCCCTCTACCTCGGAAGGACTCAATCGGCCAGCATCAAAGTATCCTTACTACGGAGAAGCTTTGTCAGCGCGCCAAGTAACCAAGACACCAGCGCCAGTATGGTGATATCTGAACCAGCTCTGATACCAAATTGCAAAGAAAAGAAGAGAGAGCGATAGACAAAAAAACAAATTGCAATATCTAGCTGAAGACCAGATAGTCGTGTGCCAAGCAGAAAACAAAATGCACAAATAAGAGCAATACAATGAACTCATACGTCAATGTCAGCTTCTACTCGCCAACACCAGCAATGTATCCAATGTCGCCCTTCTTGATTGGCGCCCAGCACCCTGCCTACATCTACTCAGCACCTACTCTAGTCTACACTACGATATGGAACAGGAACCACTTCAAGCTGAACACCGATGTATGTGACGAAGTCAACCATGCAGACCGCCGCATACACCAGATACATGCCTCTCATCTCCCTCTCTCTCATCACCTCCTCACCACCCACATTGTGCTCCTCCTCCCGAAGACCACCATTGCCCATACCAGCACACGCCCGGCCAGCCTGGCTATGGCTGCCATGCACCCCACCGCCTTTGCGGCACCACCTCTCCCACCTCTAGCGCCTGCGTGCGCCCTCTGGCCTGCGCCCCAGCAGCCAGCTGGCCACAATCGAGCATCGTGGCCACCAGGTTGCTCGCAGCCAGGATGTGCTGCCCTGGGCGAGGCACTTTCCAAAAGGATAGCGCTGCCCTGCTCTCGAGCAGCCCGGGTCTGTCTGGGCCTGGAGGCCGTGTGCCCTGTAGCCTGGCTTCGGGGCAAATTGTCTGCACCCAGGCCCAATGCAACAGTGGCCTGTGCCCGCCAAACTGCGCGACGTGGGCAGCGTCACTCACTGCCATGCCATTGGCCGAAAGGCCTCTGTCAACATCGCTGCCCTGGCGAGCGCAGAGGCTCTGAATGTCATGATCCCTCCGGCGTAGGCCTTGTAACCAACTGGCGCGTGGCAACTGTCTGCTAGCCACATATGCAGAAAGGGCAAAATTGGGCCTCATGTCGAAATGCAGGCCCGCCTTCACTTAGGGCAGGCACGAGGCTTGCTAAGGGCCCCTCTCGTGTCGGGTGTCACAGCCAAAACGACCCTGTGAGGGCTCATTCCTCACATATACATATGTGTGTATATATATATTGTCAAACAGAACTGCCCGGTGAACCATCGGCACAGAGGGAGAAGACGACAACGAATGAGGGGTTGTGACAAACTGTTTCGTTGGAGTTTCACCGACTCATCAGGAGGCTGAACCCTATATTGGGTTCAGCCTCCTGATCAGTCGGTGAAACTCCGACGAAACAGTTTTTCACAACCCCTCATTTCTTGTCCTCTTCTCCCTCTCTGCCTACGGTTTACCGGGCAGCTCTGCTTGACGATATAACATGTCGGGCACTGGAACCATTTATTTTTATCATTCTTCTTTCAACTCCCCTTTCAGCATGCCTCTCACGTACAAAGCTCGCCACATTGATGAAGTTGAGTGCGAGCTGCCCACATCTCCATGTGGCACAACAACCCACTTGTACGCTGTGAGAAAGAGGCTGAGTAAAGGGGAAAGTGATAAACAGAGATGAAGAGAAGACAAACAAAGAACCAAAAGGGAAAGTAAGGGAAAGTACGGAGTGTGGAAGGAAGATGAAGGCAAAGGAGAGGTTAAGAAAAGCTCAAGCGCGAGAATGTCCTTGACGACAGAGAGGACACATTGTAAGGATGAGGTGGGTGAGCACATGGAAAAGCTAGCTGAGCATTAGCAGCACAACAATTGCCACAAAGGCTGGCATTGAGCATGCCCACCATACACTCCCGACAAATGGGATGTCGATTGCAGGCCAAAATGAAGGAAGAACACTCACCACAGAAGACCATGCATTCAGTATAGCTCCCATTGCCGCAAAATGGACATATAGTGTCCAGATGCGGAGGGTGCCTGCAGTCAGGAACAGACGGACAGTCCTCTATACACATGGATGCAGAAACCATCTGATTGTAGTGGTTGTGACAGAGATGATGGCGGCTACAGCCGAGTGTAACAGTGTCTGTGGCTATGCAAAGGAGAAGGTCGCAGAGTGTTGGTACATTATCCTGCTGGAGCACGGGGCCAGAGGAATGATGATCTTCAACATAAAAGATATTGCGGACAGTTTGGTGAGGCAAGAAAACAGCATCATTATGTAAGAAATCAGTAACATCAGTCATGGCATGCACCATGATGCCGTTGTCCCATAACTCCCAGTGGTCAGAGGCATGTACGATGGCCATGTAATGGCCAGGACCGTGCACAATGCACAATGAGATGTGGGATGGAGGATTAAACCACTCACCTGCTCAAGCATTGCGTACTTCAAGTTGGTGGTCCCTCATTGCTACTCGTAGGACAGCAATGGTAAAGCCTCTTTCCCTCGTATAATTACAATCCTCTGGCAGTACGTGGGGGAGATCAGCATCAAGCTGAAGGGCGATAACAAGGAAGTCTAATGGTGTATAAAACGGGCGGCGGAGAATGTGACGACAGATATTAGTTGCAGTCAGATCACAGAGACTGGTGAGGGTCTCAGGCTGGTGTGTCGGATGCTGGCCAACGATTTGCAGATCACCCAGCTGGTGTTGCAAGCCCAAAATGTCTTGGGTTGTTTGCTGGACAGTCATTTGCAGATCACCCATGTGGTCTGAGCGTGCAGGGCCACAGATTTGTGGTTCGTCCAAATGATGCTGGTCAGCGATTTGCAGATCCCTCATGTGGTCTACGCCTTGTGGGGTTAGCTGCAATCCGGGCAGATCATGTTCCAATCCCTCAACGTTTGGGGCCGCATCCTGAGCAGGGACTGTCCCGTCAATCGGCAGTGTACTACTCTGGGCACGGACCACATCTTGTTGTACAGGGGGAACATCTAACGCTAAAGGGCATAAGACATGGTGCCGTGGCTGCCTGCAGGCAGCTGGACTGTCTGCCGGAGGCATAGGAGCGGATATTGTCGTTTGGAACGAAGGAACCACAACAACCTGTGGACCAGGCACAGAGAGAATTGGACCAGACAAAGAAACAGGCTGCTGATCCCTGTGATGTTCTTTGAGCTGGAGCTGCGGTAGAGGAAGCTGTAGCAGCAAAAACTATAGTACGGGGACTGCAGCAGAGGAAACCGTAGTGAAAACTGCAGTAGCAGAAACTGCCAGACTGAAAGCCGGAGCTGTAGAAAGTGTAGTGGTGGAAACCGCAGCATCAGAAATTACTGCATATTGTCAAATATCTATGAACTAAAAAGCACACTTTGCAAAACAAATGGTAAGAAAAAAAAAAAAAAAAAAACAAGACCATTATGAGGGGCACACTGAAACCATTCATTTTTCTCATTCTTCTTTTAACTCCCCCTTCACCGTGCCTCTCACGTACAATACATTGTCAAACAAAACTGCCCATAAACCATAGGCAGAGAAGGAGAAGAGGACAAGAAATGACGGGCTGTGACAGACTGTTTCATCCGAGTTTCACCGATTCATGAATACATATTTTTATTATTTCAATTATACTCGTTATTTACTGCCTCGCACAAGAAAATACACTGTTCTGCACCTGGCATGGACACGTGGTTTGATCAACAGATTCAGAAGGCTTTCATGTGCACTTTGCAGGAATTTATTTATTTTTAGTCCTTTTCCGCAAACTAGTAGAGCGAATCATATACAATGTCGACCCGATTGGAAATATGCAGAATAAATTATATATGTAATTATAAAATCATTATGTATAGATGTTGTTATACTTATGACTAGTACAGCTTGTTTCTTAGGAGATAGACCTGCCACGCAGGGAAACAGAATTGCATAGGCAATGAAAAAGTGACAATTAAACAGATTTCAGTGATGAAAAGTTGAAGAACTAAACAGCACCAACCTACCTGCTAGCGTAGTCATGGAAAATTATTTCACCAAGAGATTCATTTACAAAGAGGAAAATTTTAACAGCACCAAGCTGCCAGTTAACGGAAACCTAATAAGCTTCCCTCCCCCTCCCCCCCC